GAAAGAAGGCATTTTGCTTTGGAGATTTTCGACCGCAGACTTACTCTTGCCTCATTCAACCCAATACCCTCAGTGGTTTATTTTTGAATCTCTTACAATGCTACTGTATGTCATGTAATTATACTAGACACTAATCATACAAACACCTCATGCTTCATTGATTCTTTGGTACATAGAGATCCCCACATATGTTTCACTTCAGATTTTTATTCCTTATCTTAGAAACTTCTCAGCTCCAAAACTCACTTAAGAGTTTATATTCTCCAAACACTATCCCAAACTCCCAATGCAGGTAAAGCTTCCTCTCTCAGCACTGTCTGCACACTCTGTGTTTACCCATAGAAAAATACTTTACATTGTATGATAATACCAAGGTACTGTACTTGTCTGTCTTCTTCAAGATTCAAAGGTAGAGATTTGCCTTTTAACTCTGAATTCCCAGCACCTGGCACTGTGTGTGTATATATCATATATTGATATACATTATGTATCACATATAATATACATATTGATATACATTGTATATTATATATAATACACGTAATACATGTATATTATATATACATATGTAATATATATAATCCATATATAATATATAATATATACACATAATATATAATATATTGTATTTATATATGTATTATTACATAGTGTGTATATAATGTAATATATAATGTATATCAATAAATGCTTTTGAATGTATAAACAAACACTCAAATGGACAACAAACAAATGAATGAATGAATGAATGATCACATAGTCCCTACGTTGAAGGTCACTCTCACTGAGGAGGCCAATAACTAATTGCCTAATTCTAATTTAATGTAATAAAGATAAGATTCAAGTGGTGAGACAGAACAACATCTATGTCTTTTTCTCTTGATGACTGCTCTATTGTTTGTGCACTGAAGAGTGTTTACATTTATTGTTGAATAATCTATAAACAAAATCTCGACTTCTTTTAAAGAATTACCACACAAATCTATTATGTGAATAAAATAAGCAAGAACATTTGATTAAGAAAATAGTGCTGTCTGCCTACAGCATATATATTGAAAATTTCCTGACAAGAATATCCATGCAGGCCTAAAAAAGAAATAAAAAAGACAAGTAAAGTGTTTTAGTTATTAGCAAGTTGTTTTTGGTGACTAGAGGACAACTGATGTTAAAAGTAGTAAATATGGCCGGGTGCGGTGGCTCAAGCCTGTAATCCCAGCACTTTGGGAGGCCGAGGCGGGTGGATCACGAGGTCAAGAGATCGAGACCATCCTGGTCAACATGGTGAAACCCCGTCTCTACTAAAAATAAAAAAAATTAGCTGGGCATGGTGGCACGTGCCTGTAATCCCAGCTACTCAGGAGGCTGAGGCAGGAGAATTGCCTGAACCCAGGAGGCGGAGGTTGCGGTGAGCCGAGATCTCGCCATTGCACTCCAGCCTGGGTAACAAGAGCGAAACTCCATCTCAAAAAAAAAAAAAAAAAAAAAGTAGTAAATATGAAAATATCAAAGATAGCTGTAATTAGGAAATTTCACAAACACAAAATAAAGTATATAATCCTAAAAATGAGTTATTGAAGAGCTCTGCTTTCAAGTGCTTAAATAAAATTTCAAGAGGCTATGCCTGCAGGAGGAAGTTCTTGATATTTGGTCTCTACATTGTTTGGTTTGACATGTGAATGATTGGAAGGTTTGTTACTGAGAACTAAAGGGGGTGCGTACAAAGAAGATAAAGCATTCCTACTGAAGCCTTTTTTCCCAGTTTGTGGTCACAGCCTTTATTCAGGCCTTATTATTTCTAGCAAGGACCATAGCAACTTAAGTGTTTTACCTGCCTCCAAAATTTCCTTCCATTCATTGTATTTTTTACAGTGTAAAAAAAAAAATGAACATATAAAATATGATCAAAATTATGATCTTCCAGCACCTTGAAAAAGTCTTTCACCTGCATTGTACTGCAAAGTACCTGCATTGTACTTCACCTGCAAAGTACTCCAACTGGGGTACTTTGGAAAGTAGGAGGGGATACTTCACAATTTGTGGGAAGTATAAGAAGCTTTAGGAAAACTCTGGAGTTTTTTAGTGGGCTTCAGGGTCACTCAGTGGTAAGTAGTCATCTTAGTCCATTTGGGCTGCTAAAATAAAATACTTATCAACTTGGTAGCTTACAAACAAGAGAAATATATTGTCCACAGTTCTGGAGGCTTTGAAGTCCAAGATCAAGTTGCCAGCCCATTTAGGGCCTGGTTGAGGGCCTGCTTCCTTGTTCATAGATAACCTTCATCTTTTCATTGTAACCTCACAGTGCAGAAGGGGGCCAAAGAGCTCTCTGGGGCCTCATTTATAAGGACACTAATCCCACTCACAAGAGAACCATACTCATGACCTATTCTCAAAGGTCCCGCCTCCAAATGCCATCACCCTGGTGATTATGTTTGAACATGTAAATTTTGATGGAGATGCAAACATTAGGTCTATAGCAATATTTTAAAACATTTTTAAATGTTAAAACATTGTTGTGTTACAAAGCTAAATGTGAAAGTCAGAGGGCTTTTAAAGATAAAGCATGAGACCAGAAAACATGCAAAGCTTCTGATGGAAGCTGTTGCATTTTACTCGGACCCCCAAGACATTTATGTGAAAAGGTACAAAAGGATTATTTTGAAGGTAAATTGTCCAGACCCTCTTACCCGCTCAGAAGACCACTTGTTCTAAAAAGACATATGGGCTTTAATGCCTTCATAACTTTGTTATTACGTTTTTTTCTACCTGAAATTCTTATCCCTACCCTTGGCTAACTCTTCCATCAATTTATGCACTCTTTCATTCAGCAAACATTTGATGAACTCCATTCTGCCAGGGTTCTACTAGGCCCTCATGATGTAGGGATAAAGAGATCCTTCAGAGATGGTGAGGAGAGCAGGGGGATCATACAAGAATATTAATAAACATAATAATCACCTGACATTGCTTGTTATGTACTTAGCAGTGTGATGAACACTTTCCACATTTCTATTTAATTCTTATATCAACTCTGATAAATAAGTTTTCCCAGTCCTGAAATTTGCCTTAATGTCACACAATAAATGCTGCTTGCATTCATGATGTACAATAAATTACTGAAATAAAACACAATCCAGTTTGACTCTGATTTATGCTCTTGAAATTTACTGACTATGCAGTTTGATGTGACCCTCTAGAGCTGGCTTAAGTGTTTAATCCTGTCTCTTTTTCCTCCCTGTAAATTCTTCCCTTATAGAATAATAACTTTCTCCCTAATATTCTTTATTATCATGTATTTCATTATTGATATTTATATATACGTTTCCTGTCCCACTATCTGGGAAAGCCCCTAGAGCAGGTGCTTCTCAGATCTATGTGCGTGTGTATCACGCTCTTCTGGCACAGTGGATCTGCTGAACGTGGCAGGACAGAGTGGCCTCTGTGGTGAACAAGCACATCTAAAACTTGCTGAGATCACACATAGCTACCCACAGGCCTTAAGATGTGTTTTGTTTGACCTAAGAAAGTTCAAAGCATTTTTTAGTTTGTCAACTTTAAGAAATAAAGATGTTATCTTAAATTCTGCATTTCCAGCTTCTCTCTTAAAATGGAAAGATTGGCAAACATTCATTGATTGGTCAAGTATTTCTGCCTAACCACAATTAGCTAGAGCTGTGCATCAGCCGTCTGCTTGAGATGAGGCCACAGTCCCCACTGCCATGCTGTGCTTCTCTTTGAATTTGATTCCCTTATGCACTTTCAGGACCCTGACCCTAGTGTTTCCAACTTTTCTTCTGTCTTCTCTTAAGTCTCTTGATTTCTATATATTCATATAATGGTAGGAATCTATAAATAATACAACTTTTAAAGTAAAAACAGATGAAAGGAAAATACAAAGGGATGTTAATGCAATGTGCATAACAGTAAACTGTTACTAAATGTAAGTGAAATGCTGAGAATAGAAAGCCCCATTACTACATGAATATTAAAATACATAGAAAAGAAGCTCTCAAGAATGGCATGTGTAAGTTCTCATCTCAAATAAATATAGATGGCACAGGTCTATTTATAACTTGCTAATGGTCTTTTCATAGCTGTTTCAGCTCACACGTAAGAGGTTATCTGGAACGGTACTATAGTGTTGTTTGTAGTCATTACAATTACAGAAAAACTTCTTTAATTCAAAAACTACAATGTTTGGGATGGAGAATGGGGGCAAGCTTGGATTTGTATTGTAGAGAGTTTATGCAAAGATTTGCAAAGCAAATACACTGAGTAAATCGTTCGTAAAAGAACTGCTTGCTCGACTAATTTTAGAGTTATAAATTCCCAGCAATGTAAGTGCACTGCAAGCAAAAGCTACATACTGCTTAAGTTGGTATATTGGTATAATAAGTAGAAATCATTTCTATCTACCCTCTGAAGCAGTACTCCTGCTAGACATAGCTTTTTATAGTAGTTCAAGTTGCAGTATTTATTTGAAAACAGTAAGGTGTTGTTCCAATAAAATGTGTTGTTTCACTGACTTTTCATCATCTCAGACAGCTCTTTTCCCCAGGTTAACTGACTTAGATCTGACTCTTTTTAGTAGGGCAAGTGCAAAAAGGAAACCATAGTTCAGAGAAAATCCTAATTAGTCCCCTAAGCTTCAATAGACACATACATTATATTAAAAAAAAACCATGCTATAATAATATGAGAGTTGGCAGCCAAACAATAAGTGTCCAAACATGATGAATAGCAGGTTAACCACCTCTATAAACGTAGGAGCAACCATGTCATGTTAGCCCAGTTTTGCTTAGTCTTGTAATAGACAAAATCATAGTATATAGCTTTATTAATCTGTTATATTAACGAGTTGCCCAACATCTCAAGGTATTTAGGAGTACAAATAAATGTCTTACCTCTACTGATAGTCATTTATAAGAAAAATAATACATCTCATGGTGCAGAAAACAACCTGTAAAACAGTTGAAATGGATAAGAAAATTGTATCCTACCTGGGTCACTTTCTCTGTCACATTGTGTGTTCGATCTTTAACCTTGGGTGCAATAATGGTTTTATCTGAAGAAGGAGGAGATGAATTCTTTTTCTCAGTCTTGACATCTGAAAAATTCAGAGTGAGCTGTGGAATCTTGTTGATGGTGCTGTATTTGTTGAGGTTTGAATCTGATGTGGATCCCAGGAGGCTTGACTTGATATGATTAAAGGGCCCTAAAAAAAAAAAAAAAAAAAAAAAGGAAAGTATTTGTAAGAGTAATATAAGAAGATGTAGAAGAAAGAGACAGTTCTGAATGCCCTGCTAATGATTCATGACCAATATGATCCTGATTTGAGTGTGTTAAATGCAGCCAGCTTATACCTGGACACGGGGCTTAGGGTCACCTTAGGCCACATGGACTGGCATGTGAGTATCTGAGAAAAAGATTGGGTTCTAGTTGTGCACCCAGAGAGGCAGTTCTAGCTGCTAATTAGCTTCTTTCATTAAAGGTTGGAATAAAAGAAAAAACTACACTCTCTGTTATTGGTCAAATTCTACCTTTAAAGTTGTTTAAAAATTCCATTTTGTAATTTGAGGATTATTTGAGGAAGTATTTAGCTATGGTTAAAGTCACATTGCCCATGAAAGTTCCCAAATGGGCTGTTTACCCTGCTCCAATCTGGATTACTCCCCTCTCCGTGTCACTGAGGAGTGACAAGTCCTCTAGGTTCATGTTTCTACTACCTGTATGAGATGCTCCATAGAGCTTCTAAAAGAGTGAAACCCAGATAGAATTACAGATAAAGCTGGGGAGGGTGAAAGGCCATTTCTGTGTGCATGTGTGTACCCTATTAAAAATTCTAGGATCATATGTGGAATTTTTAGATTTTTTTTTCTTTCACTTATATTTAAGACTTGACCACTTTCTGAGAAAAACAAAAGGTGCTATAAAAGCCACACAAGAAGAATGCTCTGGCAAACACAACTTACAGTAGAAGTGACCACAGCTAGGTAATAGGGCATGTTTGGAGCTGATAGTACCTAGCCACTTCTCTAAATCTTTCCTACAAAGATAACTTGGCAAGATGGCAGGACTCCTGGTTTCCTTGTTGAGGGAGTAGACTGACTACCTATATCTTTCTTTGGGATGACTCTGTTGTCTGTTGCTTATTGAGAATCAGGAAATTTTCTGAGAAGCATCTTGTGTAATGAGCAATATTACATATGCTGTCATTTAGCTCTTAAAAATTAACATCAGGGAGAATTTTATAAAAATCATGAGCTCCCTATTTTTGTACCCCAGGAAGTGGTTAAAACATACAAACTGCATCAATAAACTAGTTAGGCAGCATATTTTGCCTTCTGTTATTTTTTTCTTTGTTCAAAATGAAGTGAACCCATTTTCAGGATTGAAGTGTATTTTAAGCATCAAGCATGGTATAAATGCTTTAAAATTAGACTTAAAAAATTTGCCTTTTGGACAACAATCAATCAACTCAGGCCAGATACAATACTAAAAAAACAATGCCCATCATTTTGTTTATAGTCACTATGGGGGAAAAAATCACACTATGCTTGTTTATTAAAGTCCACACTTTCTTATTATAAAAGTTTAAAGTAATCTCAAGAAATTTTCATGTATTTAACAAATACTATGTGGCTTGAATTGCATTTCTGCTGACTTCCTGAGTCTTATCCATGATAATGACCAAGTCCATCTAGAAGAAAAATGTTATGAGCTCTCCAGGCATTTATTGCCTTATATGTTCTTACTTACATATAGAACCTTACTCTCTTTTCTATTTATACAAAGATAGAAATGAAAGCTAATAGTGGCTACAAATTAATCTAGCCTTCAGATAGTTCTCTAACAGAAACTCCATTCTTCAGGTCTTTTTAGATGTCTCCAGCCCACATCACTAATTTATTTTATTGTAATGCAAACCAGGATAGTGTTTCCCTGTCTGCAACGTTCTATAGTTGGGTTCTAGGTTTTATATCTTAATATTTATAATTTTTGAATTATGCTGGGATTTCAGGTTCCTTAGATATTGTCTTTTCACTGATTTTAATGTCATAATTTCACTCCTTAGGTTATTTAACTAACAGGGATACTATTAAGAGATTATAGGTGACAGAGCTCAAATATATAGTTAAATTGTATTTAAAACCCTTAAGCTCATCTTTCCAGTCTCTTTCCGCATCATCCTTCTCTATGCTGCATTTCCATAGTAAACTGTCCACAGAGTTGCTTAAAATTTGAGCTAAAATCATGGATCATCGATGTCATCACAGATTCTATGATGTTGATAGAAAGACACTGTGTGTGTACTTCAATTGCCTTTGTGACCAGTTCCAATGAACTCCACTGAATGGGCTGCACTTATATAAGCATGTGATTTCAACTGTGGTAGTATTTCACTCTAGGGGAGATTTGTGGGGGCATTTTTAGTCATCACAATTATGAAAGAATTTCAGTGTCACAATTATCCTGCCTTAAAGAATTGCCTTACATGTCTCAAGGGCATTCATGTAGGTGAAAAGCCTGTTTATTCATAAACTGAGCTTTAAAATGAACTACTTCACATATAAATACCACAATGTACTTTTACATGAGGTTAATATAAATTGAAATTTCTAGAGCTGCAACTTCCATGTACAGGTAAGAATATATATTGTTTTATTCAGAATTTTATCAGAAATTGTTTACAATTTTGGAAAATTATGCCACTTTGAGCTACACTCCTTATGGCATTTGAGTGGCCAATACAAAATTTCAGAGTTTAGATTACAATCTGTGTTTGGATCTGTCATTTGTAAATATGTAAGCTAAGAGATTTGAGTCTTCTTTATCAGTGTTGGAACCAAATATTATTAAATTTGCAGAGAATTACTAAAATCACACTAATAAAGTTCCTTCAAAAAGATTTCATATAAATATCCTCCTATATATGTAAAGTGATACAGAACAATGAAAAGAAAACTATGTCTTAAAAAGGATACACTTGAAATTATTTATTTGTCTTTGGGTTGCCTGTTGGTTTTCAATCTCATTCTCAAAATTCCCTGGAGATCTGCCACAACTTCTCTATAATGTCTTAATTACCATTTCATTTTCCATTCCATCTTCTGTTTCTCATTACATAGCAAAACATGTTTACAGGATTCTTTTTATGTATTAGAGGATTAATATATGTCCTGACATCTAGCGGGATTTCTTTCTTCTGTGCAAGTCACTACTATTGCATTATATCTCATAAGGTATCATTTTAACACTATTAAAAGCAAGAGCTAGATCATTTGTGAGAATACCATGCTCATTATTTTCTCTTCAGTTTGTATTGGTATATTAATCATAATTCAATTTTAGTTACTTCCCATTTTAAAAACTCATATATAAATAAGTCTGATGTAGTTCTTGACTCCAACGGTGGTTTTGTTTATGCTGCCCATCCATACTTCTGCTGTACCATTTTATCTGGTACCTGTATGAATGTTTTCTCATGTACTTATTGCTTTTAAAACCACATTTTCTTCATATGTCTGATTATTGCATTATGTTTTCTAGTGTAGTTATATTTGAACACTAACATATTGAAATAAATATTTTATTATAAACTGCTTTTATTTCTCTCATATATTACAGTTAGGGAATCATGTTGATATTTTAGAACTAGGTTAAATTATCTTAGAGTTCCATTTCAGGATAGCAAAATAAGTATAATAAAATATTTGTAGAGACAAGGAGACATTGGATCTGATATGACTGAGAAACTGGTTGATAAAATGTCATACTCAGATTTGGCCTCAGAATTTGCAACCTCATTGCATTCACTACCTGAGCTTCTCTTATTTGCTGGTGAAAGAACCTTCTAAACTAGTACTCTATTTTTTTCTTTTTGGCTTAGTCTTAAAGAGTTAATCCAGATTTTCTTTTAATATACATTTTAATTAATTCAGCAAAACTTAAAATATTATTTAAACTAATTTGTGCATGCTACTTAGAAAAGACATTTAAAATTTATTTAATGCTGTATAAAAAAGATAATTATGCTTCTTTCTACTGATTTTAAAGCAGATGTTTAAATGACGAAGTCTTCTAGAGTCTTCAAGATAATCAGTGTTGGCTGAGGCTCCTCTAAGCCCATCTAAATGCAAATTAAAAAAAAATTCAACATTTTAATTAAGGTATGTATTAACAATATCTCTATTTCACCAATTGTAAACCTAAGCGGACAGAATATGAGGCCAAAAAAGAATAAGAATAAAGGACCAGAACACATGGTTTCCTACCTCCTAAGTCTATATTCAGAGAGGCCTTGGTTGAGGATTTAAAGGTGAAAGGCAGCCTCACTGAGAGTGATCATGAACAGATGGGATTTAGGATTCTAATGAAAGAAAGGAGAATAACCTGAAAAACAAAGTAAATAAATTTAAAGAAAATGAATGGGCAGAAATAGAGGGAAATAAGAGATTCAGTAGAAAGTAATGTAAAATTTAAGAGCATAGAGGAGGACTTGATGTTCTTAAGATAATCATTTACAAGATGGATGACCAGATTACATTTTTCAATATATTAGGAGAAGGTGGAAAACAGGTGACCAAGCAGACTAAACCAACAGCTGGATAGTGCTATAATATATTTCAAGTGTCTAATTAAACATAAAGTAGGCCAGTTTCCAGCTACAAAGAAATACCTACATTTAGAAATAAAGCTAGAAGCTAAAGCCACAACTGGGAAGAATTTTAGATTAAAAATATTTAAAATTTGTATGAGGGGGCTATTTAAATTTATCACGAGTTATGAGATGTTAATGGAGAATATATTTTTCTTTTAGATGGTGCTGGAAATATAGCTAAGAGCATCTGATAGATTTTTAAAAAATAATGCTGCTTAAAAACGTCATTTTTGAGGGCCAAATGTGATCGGAAAGAAGGAAACCAAACAAAGGTTGTTTTTAAATCATCAGGTATTTGTACAATTTTTCGTAGGGCACTGAGTTTATTTTTAGCTAAAGTTTAATAAAACTCAAATTGCTGAAGTGACTTAACATGAAAGAAGATGCAAATGCGGTGTTTAATAATTAACTTTGTAAAAGAACACTGTCAGTAAGTATAAGGAAACTAGTTTAGCACTTAGAAAGATACATAAGAGGTAATCATCAAATTATTTTTCTTCACATTGTCTGTTTCAGTGCATGATGTATTATTTGCAGGAGAAAACTATTTTCATGGAAAATCAATTTGCAAATTCTTATCAAACGAGAAGACACTGGGTAATGGTCAATATAGCCTATAAGAAACAAGTTGTATTAGATTAATTTATTTTGTTTATGAGTCATATAGGCTAGAGAGGAGGTAAAAGCTATAACAAACCTTGAAAATAGTTTTACTTCAGAGTCATATGATAGATTCATAGATAAACTGGAAATGGAACACTCCAGTGTCACAGGGAAGCTGGGAATTACTTGAGATAACAAGGAGATGGAAGCATTAAAGGGGCAAAATTGTATCATGACTTATTTACGAAGTACAGAAAGTGACGTAGATTTTTATTGATGACTTGGAAAGCAAAATAGACAAAAGCCACTACATTTGAGGAAAAAATTAGTATATGAATGATGGAGGTAGGATTAGGTACCTCTCTCACATATTAGAGAAATTGTGAAAAAAAATTGTAATAATACATATGTATAAGCAGAATGTGCAATTTATTTGAAATTGCTTTTCCACTCTTTGACAATGGGTTAGACTTTTAACGAAGAACTTTGAAGTGTTAGCTTAAGGAGTATGAATGCTATGGAAATTTATTAAAGGGAAACAAAAATAGATCCTAAGAAAGAAGATTAAGTGAAAATTAGTTTTAAAAATAAGATTGAGTACCAATTTGCTGTCTTTTTACTGTGATATTGCATCAGGATTAGTAGTAGTCAACTATTATCTCTGTCCAGTAGAAATAGATGCAGGGGAAAAAATACATATCAGAAAGGAGGGTTTGGGTTATCTCTTTGTGTAGCAGGCACTAGCACAGACTTCCCAAGAAAGTTAAAGAATGGCCTCCTCCAGAGATAAATGTACCACCTGTGCAAGGGATTTAGCCATCACCTCACCTGACATGAATAAACCAGATGATCTTGAAGACATTACCAACACATTCCTAAATTATTTATTTTATTATGATAAATAAATGTTTTTTTGGTTGAATTAGATATTGAAATAATGATAATTTTACATTTTGTACACAAAGCAGTGTAGAAACCTGCATTTTTAAAGTCTTTTATTTAGATCTGATATAAAAGCAAAGTCAAAAAATTTAAAATTCATGCTTAATGTAGGGTCCTGTAACTAATTAGCAGTAGTAATGGCTTTGTGAAAAATCTTCCAGGCAGACACTTAAACATTGTTAGTAGTTTTCAAAACCAGAGCTTGGAAAATGTAATGAAGACTTTGGAGTGAATATTTACATTAGATTTTATTGTTTGCAAATGTGTTCTCCTATATGGGGATATAACTTCTTAAGTATTAATATATGAAAACTTTCTACAATAGTTTAGAGATTTTTAATGCCAAATTCTGGCTTTGATGATTCTACCATATACTTTAAATCATGATTGTAAAATTGATGTGCAATCTGAAATCTATGTAATAAATAAAGAATATCCGTATTCAAATACTACTCCTATTAAAAATGAGAGAGTTGAGAAAAAAGGATTGGAGAGTAAATGAATTATTTTGACACTAAAATTATTATGACACTAAAATGAAATAACTGTATATATGTATGACATATATGTGAACTAGTAGTTGGAAAAGTTAACTCCAATTTTCTATTTATTGAAAAAAATTAGATTCATTTATCTCTACATGTAAAAATCATCTGAATTAATTAATGCCTACTAATTTACTGCTAACTGTTAAATTCTAAAGCCAGTTGGCAAAAGCTATCTGTATCCTGCTTCCTGAGGTTACATTCTGAATTATATCAATGCAAACCACCACACACAGTTGTCATTAATTTGCTCAGTTTTAGAAATCACAATGGACAGGCCAAAAGAAAAAAATAATAATAATGATGTAGGTGAAATCCCATTTCACTATTAGGGTCAACCTCCATAGACCCTTTTTAAAGTGCTTACGAAATAAAATTGGTGTGGGTTTTGGGGAGATACTGCCATAATTTCCCTGATTTTTAAATTTCCATAGGCTGCTAACCAAACATCTTTGGTTCCTAGTACCATTAATACATAACCATCACCAACTCAGATTTATTTTAGGGAAGCAATTAAGAAATCAATATACAAAATTTCACAGTAGTCAGTGTACTAGTGACATAAAGGAGAGATTGGCCAAAACAGTGAATTCTAAGTAATGACGGTTACTGGTGGAGACGTGTTCATGCAACATACATGCACAAAATAAGTCACTATCACCATTTGCACACCCACAGCAGCATGCATGGCCTTTGCTGAAAGACCAAGCCCCAACGGTTTTCAATTTGATGATGATCATATGGTTACTATATTTTGTGACCCTTGTATCTACTATGATATAGTACAAAACAGAAGTGAATTTCAAATTTTTAGCCCAATCCAAATTTATCCAGAGTATTCCCAGTTAAACATAACCGTATGGTAGTGGTAGGTCATGCCAGTGATTTCAGACTAATATAGAACACATTTAAAAATGATTAAAATATAATAGAGAAAAATAGAAAATGACTATCATGCATGTATAGTTTACTACTACAGTAAACTTAAAACCATACCCCCTGCCATCCAGGAACGTGAAACTAGTTTTAAGGAAACAAAAGAGGAACAAGTGAAGTGATGCTGTCATGGAGCACTTTGCTTAATTTATTTAATCTTCCACTCAAAATTTTTGTTTTCCTGAAATAGGCTTTTGTGCCTCTGTCACATTGGAATATATTTTGCTCGATGATATTTGTTTCTTTCCAAATGATTTAAATATTTAGGAAGTATTTGTTGTCAACCTAGGCTTATATTTCTTGCAGGCAAAAGGAGCTCATAATCATTTTGGTGACACAGCAGAAGTAACAATGTCTCTAGCAAAATCAAGCCATGATGTCTCCACCAGGCACCCCGACTAGCTAAGGGCAGCATGAAGGTGTTGCATTGGACAGGGCATACAGCAGGCAAGTTAACATGCCAAGTAAAGGGGCACGTTGAGTATCAGATGGTGAAAATTGAGTTTGTACATTACCTTTGACATTGCGACCATTGTCTGTTTTGAGCACATAAGGATAAGAAAAGAGAAATATAAAAAGAAGACTAAAATTATATTATATACACTGAATTACCTGTATAAAAATAATCAGAGAAGTCAGAATATGATGGAAAATTTCCCTTCAATTGAAATTAACATTGTGTACGATTCAACCAAGTAACATGCATATACTAAAAATAATATCTGTCATAATATACATTCTTATTTAAATATGTGAAGCATATATCTCAATTTAAATGAATTCCAAAGTACAGATTTTACAATTATGACAGTTTAGAAATAGACTTCCCCAGCTGCCTAAAGTTGTGACAAAACTTTCAACCTTGTCAACACTGAGTTTTAGTGTCTCCACTGTTACTTAGAATATACTCAAAGGAAGACTCCACATTATGCATATTAAGTACTTTTTTGCATATAATTTAACCTAGTATGTTAATAAGGAAAATTTTTCTAAGATAACAGTTTCCTTTTCTTTCTTTCTTTCTTTTTTTTTTCTTATTTTGAGATGGAGTTTTGCTCTTGTTGCCCAGGTTGGAGTGCAATGGAGTGATCTCAGTTCACTGCCACCTCTGCCTCCTGGGTTCAAGCGATTCTCCTGCCTCAGCCTCCTGAGTAGCTGGGACTACAGGCGTGTGCCACCACTCCCAGCTAATTCTGTATTTTAGTAGGGATGGGGTTTCTCCATGTTGGTCAGGCTGGTCCTTGAACTCCCAACCTCAGGTGATCCGCCCACTTCTGCCTCTCAGAGTGCTAGGGTTACAGCCATGAGCCTGATTTAGAATATTAATGGCTTTGTGAAAAATCTTAGAGGCAGACACTTAAACATTGCTAATAGTTTTCAAAACCAGAGCTTGAAAAATGTAATGAAGATTTTGGAGTGAATATTTACATTAAATTTTATTAAGCTTGCAAATGTTTTCTCCAATTTGGGGATATAACTTCTTAAGTATTAATACATGAAAACTTTCTACAATGGTTTAGAGATTTGTAATACCAAATTCTGACTTTGATTATTCTACCATATACTTTACGCCCTGCCAACAGTTTCCTTTTTTTCTCTTCCTCCCCTCCCTTCCTCCCTCCCTCCCTCCCTCCCTCCCTCCCTCCCTCCCTTCCCTCCCTCCCTCCCTTCCTTCCTTCCTTCCTTCCTTCCTTCCTTCCTTCCTTTTTTCCCTCAGGGACAAGGTTTGGCTATATCTCTCTGGATAAACAAACTCCTGGGCTCAAGAATCCTCATGCCTCAGCCTCCTTAGTAGCTGGGACTACAACCATGTCACTCTGCCTGACTCCACTGTGCTTGGCTCCAACTTATATTATTAATCACAATTTTATTAACTTCCCTCCTCCAAATGTTCTTCAATGTATATTTTAAAAACAAAAAATATAACTCAAAAAGTCATTCTTAGGCAAAAATAATTGCAAGAAGTAAATGAAAGATTAGACTGTTTAAAAAATATAAACATTTTTATTTATGTGGTCACGATGAATTCAGTGTAATAAGTAGAATTGTAAAAATTTTATTTGTAATAAGATGGTCTCTTAAAATCTGAGATAAATATTTTCATGTTTATTTTGAGATCAACAATCTAAATGTTGCGTACTTGCTACTAACAAAATATGCATTACCAGCTATGAAACACACAAGCTTAAAATAAACGTCACTGTCATATCAAAACCATTCAAATATATCCAAGATTTGAAAAATCTGTTCAGCATTTTGTTGGTATATATGCTAACACTGTGCCCATTTAAAATCTTGGGATATATCTTAATAATTTCAAAGCTTGCAAATGAAGTAGTTCTAAGAGTGTGGTATATTGCATTGTTAGTTGATACTGCATTGGACAAAGACATGCAAATAAAATTGTGGCCTTAGATGACAATTCCCTTTCTTCTTTGAGAGAATCGCAAAAAAAACAAATTGAGATAGTGGAAGAGATCTTGATTACCCAGAATGAAAGTGTCTATCAGAAAGCTGGGTCCAAAAACCATTAGTAAAGTATCAACTACTTCCAAGTAGTTATAAATTATAATTGTATTCATTAAACCTGAAAATTATATGTAAAGATTTACCAGTCCCAAGAAAACTAACAAAACATTACATTATATAGTTATTATTGCTTTGAACTTCCAAGGCAGAGTGTGGCTTGTGCACCTAGTTTAGATCTGCTTGTTATTCCTCCCTGACAATGTAAGTACAGAAATTGGAGTAAATCTTTAAAACCTTTAGTAGCAGTTTGACAGAGTAATTTCATGTCTGATTAATCTAATAAGAAAAAATTGGCATTTATATTTTATGTCTTTTTTATATTTCATTTTTCTAGTAGTATATTTTTATTGCATTCACAAATGTATTGGTCAGCGATGAGTTAGATAACAAAATTCTGGTTCTTTATCAAAGATGATTTGAAAAGTATGGTTCTAAGGTACTTGATAATGTGGGTTAAATGAAAGGATAAGGTAAAATATTATGCATTAATATATCTGCAAAATGTTTAAAGTTCTGTGAAGATAGCCTGTACAGGAGAACTTGCTTTTATTTGAATGAGGAGACCACAATCTGAATTTGAAATCTTGTGCATGATTTTACCTGTTAATCATTTACATGAATTCATAAAACTAAAATCAGTTCTAAAAGTTTTCCATCTTTCCTTATCAATGTCTCAATTTCCAAAATACATGAAATTATAAAGTCTTAAGAAGTGTAGTTTCTTTTTTGCTAATCAGTGATTTTGTAGCTAAAATTCCTCTAAAGATTGCTCTAAAATTTGCTCTAAAATTGCTCTAAAATACAGTCTGAATTTATGAATCTATAGTCACATGTTGACTATAGCATAATCTGTAAGAAAGTAATACATTTTCTGAAAATATCTTACTTTGGGTGAGGGAGAAAAATCGAGGATGATCTTAGCACCAAATGTTTATGTATAGTACCTGTACTGAGAAATCCAAAAATATTAAATCATTCTTTCTCATAATTATATCAGTAACTGTGCACTAAATGGAGATCATATAAATTGAAAACAATGAAGTTAAATCACGAAATATAATCTAAACTACTCAGCACCACTGTCCAACACAGGCTGTCTGTACAATGCACTAATTATGTATCAGTTTGATTTTCAAATTTATTGTTTTTTAATTTTATTATACTACTGTTATAAGTCAGGATCTCTCTAGAGAATCTCTAAAAGGGCAATTTCTGGAAAGTTAGTATGATTGCTAAAAGTGACTACACTAACTAAACTAGCTTAAATATATGCTGATCATTTGAATTACCTAATTGAATTTATCATTGCTGTTCAGCCACAGGACTCACTGATTAAAGATTAAATTCCAGTAGTTTCATTCTGTCAGGAAATATTGAGCCTGCCATTTCTGAATGGAACAGGGCCTTAGATGATTATCCAACTTGAGAATTGGCCTTGTATTTTCATTTTTCCCTCTCTAATGGATATGCTAATTTGATCTTGTATCTGTTTCTGAAATACTGATTTGTCTTTCTTTGAACTTTTTCCTGCCAACTCTTTCTTTCATCTCTTCTGCCTTCTCTACTTCATGGTACCCTTTAGATAAAGATCCTCTACGTGATTTACTCCTAAGACCTCAGTTGAGCTTCAGAGTATGATAGAGCAGGTAACTCACTATTTTCTAATCTGCATGATTTTGAAACAAAATTCATGAGCACAGTCCTATCAATGTCACATGGTCTTCTCAATGTTACACCAATAGTTACTGAGTAACTGCCATGAAGTAGACAATTGTGCTAGATACTAAGGCTGCAGAGCTCACTATGCCAGAGTGCCTATGCTGGAGGAGCTCACAGCAACATAATTGTTTGCTTACATATCTGAGAAGAATGACAGACATATAATATACAATAAATACAAAATGTAATCCATGCTGCACTATATGTAAATATTGGTTTGTACACTGAAGTGTGAAATGATTTAATTCTTCTGCTTCGGGAAGGGGAAAATGAGTCCCTGCCAGTGGGTAGTAGTGTAAGGAAAGACAACTGGGGAAGAGTATTCCAGGCATAACAAAGTAGTGAACCAGGAAAACACATGTTACATTTTTGAGAAAAGGCAAATTATATCTGTGCGGTTGTAGAATAGAATATGTAGTAGGGAAGGGAGTCTTGCTGGGGCTAGAAATGAGGCTGGAAAAATAAGTGTGAGAAGCTGACAAAGTGCCTAATACCCCATACTAAGAATTCATGTTTTAAAGACAAAACTAGCAGCAGCCTGGATAGCAGGTCTCTCAAGAATTCAAATCTATGGAAGTCTGAAAAGTGGGTCTGATGCACCCATGCCAGGAAAAGGCAAGAGATTCAACAAAAATCACCTATGGCAAGGTTTCATGGAGGTGCAGGAGTGAGGAAGGAGAAAAAGTGCATAGATTTGATTGTAGACTATGGAGACAGGCAGTCCTGAGTTTGAAGCCAGACTCTCACACTGACCAGCTCTGTAACCTTGGTCTAGCTATTTTTGTTATTTATTTAACATATCTGTGCCTCCATTTCCTCGTTTATTAAATAGGGCTTAAAATGAGTCCTAATTTGGGTTTGTTATGAGAGTAAAATGAGACTTAATGTGTGTCAAGTACTTACATTGCTTCAGACATAGTAAGTATTTAACCAACGTTATAAATTACCATGTTCATGATGAATTGCTTCTGTCATTGCTTTTTAAGTATCTTTAATTTCACTGTTGGTTCATATAAGAATATGAACACAATTTGCTTTTCAATTTGGTTTTAGTTGAGATCAGGATTTTCAGGATTTTTTTCCCCTTTAAATTTTTCCCCTTCTTCCTTCCTATCTTGCACCCTTGTCAGCTTATAGCTTTCTCATCACTGAGTACATCACAGTTCCTATGCTGCTCCCTTTAGAGATTGCTGGTCAATGAACTAGCCCTCTGACGGTACACAATTCTTTCTTCCCAGGGCATGATCATTTGCTAAATGCAGGAAAATTAATTATGCTTGAGATGATAGTGTTCATCACCTAAGCACATGGTATGATAAGCATTAATTAATTAACACTCCATGTGGTAGGCAGATAATGGTTATCATACTATTTCAGAAATACAGATAAAGAAGCCAGAAGAAACTAAATTACTCACTAGGGTTCAAAGAAGAAATCAGTAACAACTCTGAGTTTAGGACTCAGGTTTTTAATAGCCTTTAATCACATTTCTTTCCCTAATGCATAGGGATTACTGTTGAAACTTAAAACAGTATGCAAATAATCATTTATTACCCATTAATATATGTTTCCATTAAAAAAAATTAAACATACCTTCGCTGGCATGCCGGTCTCTAAATATGTTCTTGGGGTGGACGCTGAATCCTTCTATATCATGAACTGAAGATGCTCTTCGTATACTACATAAGCTTTCCCTTGATCTCGAATGGGACAGCTGGGAACTTGACTGCAGCATGTCAGAGTAGAGTCGGTCCCATTGCCTTTTGGGAGAGGAATGGTCAAGAGGTCCAGATATATTCACCAAGGGAGAACATTTGCTGGGCTGTATCAAAGCTTTTGTGTCATCTGCTTCTGAGGGGCTGCAGCTTTCTTTTGTAGGAGACTTAAAGTGCTTCATGGCCACTGAATCATCACTGTGCTTAGATGAGTCGATGACCACCACATCAGGGTCTTCTTGTGGTAAGGACTGCTTTCTGTAAGTGAGAACTCTCAGAGCAGGAAACTTGAAACCAAAAAATTTCCCTACAAATGGAGACAGGAGAGAGCATTATTATAAGACAAATGATATATGCTGTAACAAAAACAGACATTGTTAACTTATATTTAAGTACCATGTGAAAATAACTATGAATTAATAGTTATGGTTGGAATAAGGGATATTGTAGAAAACTTCTCTGAGACCAATGTGAAGTATCATATAAGTAGTAAGAAAACAGTAAATAATTTTATCATGTTTCTGATAATTAGATGTATACCAGTGACATAAAAGCATTTGAATTACAGAAGACTTTTGATAAAATAAAAACATGCATCCACTATACATCCACTTTTCCAGGGAAATTGAAGGATAAACATAGTTTTAAGAAAAGATGATCTAGAGTATCATGTGTCCAGGAACAGACCTAGGAATGAGCATAGACTATGTACATGTGTGGGTGGTGGGGGGCTAATGTGATGGAGTAGGCAGGAAGGAAGTGAGGTGAGGTAAAGCATAGAAATGGCATTTTTAGATTTGTGCTGAATGACATTGTGAGTCAAGTTTGGGTGGAAAAAATGGGGTCCTCTGGGTTTGAGAGGCTCATCATTCCATTTGGAATTCTTAAAGACTTTTGGCTTCAAAGAGAGAAACACTGTACAGATAAGGATATCTTTTTCCTGTTTTCTCCTTTTTGGCCCCCAAATTAGAGAGTATGGCATAAAATGTTATATATATCTCAAAATGGTTGATGCATAGGAGGACAACTAAATATAAAATTTAAGGAGTAGATGTTAAAAATTAAAATATTAACCTAAATATAACATTAAACATTAACTTTAATTTTTAGCTATATAAACTCACTAGTGGTAAAAACTGCAAAGTAAAACAAGAGGATATGATTTTTCTAGTCTTTAATTTTGCAGTAAATGAAAGAAAGCATAACACCTAGTGCTGGCAAACAATGCTGGGGAACATTGTGACATCTTGGTGGTGGGGTTGCAGATTGCTACAAACTCCTTGGAAAGTCATTAGACAATATATATTAAAATGAAAAAAAATGTGCTTTTATTTCAACTCAGCGATTCATATATCGGATATTGCAAAGACATAAAAATTAGAAAGAGTTGGATTATCCATTAGAAGGAGAATTACTGAATAAATTGTAGCCTTTTTATTCTTTGGAATCTTATGATATTCTTTGAAAAGTTGCTCAAATACAATATTAAGTTAAAAAAGCAAGTTTAAATACTGTATGTTTACACAATTTTCATTAAAAATAACAAAAAGTTACATCTGTTCATATATGTTATAGGACAGCAGAGGAAGATGTGTAAGAACTTACTTCAAACTTTTAATGTTGACTAACTCAGTGGATGGGTTTGGGAGAGGGGAGGTATAATGTATTGCATTCTTCTTTCTATATCTTTATTTTTTATGTTAAGCATGCATTTGTTTATAAATTTAAAAACTAATAAGATAAGTAAAACTTTCACTCCTCAAAGAACATGAAAACATGAGAAAGCATCTAAACAAGAATCATAACCCAAAGCTCCTCTAAGTATTATTTACAATAAAATGCAAAGATTGTCATTTTTATTGTCATCACAGCAATCTAGGTCCACATCACTCATAGCTTTACAATTAGACACTGACCTTCTTGTAAGTGTCTAATTGTAGACAACTTACATCTTTGGGCTGCAATATTTCCTACCTTCTTATATTATTTAAATGTCATGGGCACTATTACCTTTAATATATTTACTATGAACTTTTCCTCAATGTATTTAAGATGGTTCTAAAACATGGAAGAACACTCTCAAAACTCATGAACTTTTCTCCATTTTGAGTATACTCTCCTAGTGGATAGTTTATTTCTATATGCACATATTGAATTCTGTCATCAATTCAATGATTCCTAAATATTTGTCTCCAGCAGACCTCTTCTCTGAGTTCGAAACCTGTATATTTAATAGATTCATCAACATCTCCACTTAAAAGATATGTTACGATCTCATAACAAATGAGATTTCATGATCTGACCCTCCAAGACCAGGCCTTTTTTATTTTTTTCAGTGAATGGCATCACAATCCATGCAGTCATATAAATCTGAGATTTGAGGACCATTCTAGATACTGTTCTCTTCCCCACCCATCCCCAATATTCCATTAATATCAGTCCCTTAACTGTGTTCATTTCACTTCCTGAGTGTCTGTTTAGATTTCTCTCATCTTCACTGCTCATCCATCATTCCAAGCTACTATACTGACACACATAATTTCTTGCAAGAGAATGCCAATCACTCTTCACATTTGTACCATTATTGTCCACCATTAAAAATAATGATTTTCATTTTGTAAAAAATTCAGAGGATGGGCCAGTGGCTCATGCCTGTAATGACAGCACTTTGTGAAGAGAAGGTGTAATGATCTCTTGAGGTCAGGCATTTGAGACCAGCCTGGGCAATATAGCAAGATCCCCCTATCTCTACCAAAAAAAAAAAAAAAATAGCTAGGTATGGTGGCATATGCCTGTAGTCCTAGCCACTCAGGAGGCTGTGGTGGAAGGATAAATTAAGGCTTGAGTTTGAGGGTACAGTGAGCTATAATTGAACCACTGCACTCCAGCTTAAGTGACCGAGAGAGACAGACCCTGTCTCTAAACAGAGAAAAATTAATATATGATTATATAAACTATTGCACAATCCCACCCTTCCACCATCCTCCCCTGCTACCAATAACTTTCTTTTTGGGGATGAAGCCAAAACTATCTCCATCCCACAGCTTCATCTCTGTTCTTTGCTCTCTAGAACCCAGTCATATGGAATTTTAATTCCCCTGGAGAGCTGTGCTTCTTTCAGACTGATGGCTTCTTTCCGTCTGATTCTTTTTACTTTGCCTGCTGAGCTCATCCTTAGATTTTAGCACCAAAGTTATTGCATGGGGAAGCTTTTCCTTCCTTCTGAACAAGATCAGCACCTCTTTCATAGCTTTCACCACAGTTAGTAACTCTGCACTCGTTGATTTTCTGTTTAACATTTTTTTTCCAGGACTGGACCATAGGCCTCATAAGGGCAGGGCCCCTGTCTGTTTTGCTCACCATTGAGTCCCAGCTTTGACCAAATGACTTGGCATGGTAAACGAATTTTCCCAAATAGATTCTGAACTGAACTCAGAATGTGCTCAATTTTGACTGTGGGAAAACTAGAATATTTAATTGCTCTAACCATCATAATTAGAGAATCTTAACCTCTTGGAATTGTACTGACTGATATTTAACAAAAAATATTGATTGAGTAGAACTCAATAGTTCATGGAAAATAGTGAACTCTGTAACAGGCCCTCTCTACTTGATTTAACTCATCTATAAGTTTATGTAAAATACCCTGTTACAGTAAATTTGAGAATTTAAGCAGACCCATTTATTATTATAAGCTTTCATTTGTGGTCTAGTAGTTAATAGTAATATAAATAATTGAAATATAATTAAAAGTTTATTATTAATAGCTATTATGGATATATAGTTGTACATATTTATGAAGTACGTGTGATATTTTGATACAAGCATACATTGTGTAATGATCAAATCAGTGTAATTGGGATATCTAACATCTCAAGTATTTATCATTTGCTTTGTGTCAGAAACATTCCAATTCTACTCTTTTAGTTATTTTGAAATACTCAATAAATTATTGTTAACTATTGTTGCTCTAAAGTGCTACCAAACACTAGATGTAATTCCTTTGATCTGACTGTATTTTTGTACCCGTTACTCATCCCCACTTTATCCCCCATTCCCTCACACTACCACCCTTCCTGTCCTCTGGTAACCATCATTCTACTACTTATCTCTGGTAAAAGACATGACAATGTACAAACCACAAGTATATTCAACATTAAACTCTGGATTAATAAGACAAAGATAAGAGTAACCAATCTGCACAAATAAGATTAAGTAACAGAGTATCGTGACAACTGTTTTGCAAGCATTCTTACAAATTTCTACTAATAACTTTTATATGCTCAAGTAAATTGCCAAGTTGAAAATCAACGAACTGCATAGAAGTCACTTGATTAGTTTTTAATGCACATGAAATTGAGTTTTAAAGCAGTTTACAAATCAATTCTGCAAGCTTATAATGATGCATTGAAAGTCAATGCCTACTTTTATTAATTTTCTATCATTTACTTTACAATCCTCCTTTAAAAAACAATTCACTGGCTTTCTTAAATTAATGACCACACAAGACATTGAGTTTATTCCTATAGTTTAGTCATATCCAGTGTGGTACAGATGGTCTTTTCTGCATCACTAGGTTAATAGGACCATGTTATATTGCATTACAGATTTAGTTGTCTAACTGTAGTTCATCCGGAAAGAATGCACATTGAGAATTTTGCTCAATGCTAGCACTTTCAGGCATGAAATGTAAAACATAGATGAGTGTAATCCTGTTATGGATCTTAATACTAAATAACATTCTTGTAAGTTAAGTCTTCAGATTTTATTATATATCATTTTTAATTTGAATAGTTAAAATATATACTCTTTAACCTATTTACTATAATGCTCAATAAATGTGAAATAAGAGAAAAAGAATAAGGTTTTGCACACAGTTTTACACATTTCCAGAAAGAATTACAAGTACTGGTAAACTGCTTACATGGAAATAATTTTGTTTAAACACATTCTTTTCATTAAATAAGGCATACAGTTGTTAATATACATGAATATAATTATAATAGTTATAATTAGCTACTACTATAATGTCTTTCTCAGGACATGTCATTTTTGTGAAAATGTGGAATATAAATTTAGAGTCTGCATCTTCATGAATTCTGTGTCATATTTAACAACTTTTCAGTTCTCAGCCAAGAAAACATAGATATTCCCAACATCTTTCTCTAAGAAAAGTCTAGAATAATCACGTTAATCTATATATCCAAAAATGTTAAATATTTGGCCAAATTCGTATAGAGAATCCATGTCAGGTTAGCATAAAACAGCAGTTTCCTTGATTTTATTTTAGTTTTACCCAAGGTTTGG